GAGAGAGAGAGAGAGAGAGAGAGAGAGAGAGTTCGCTGTGCAGCTAAGGAAAGATTTCTGCCGTGATATATACTGTAGATAAGATAGGGTTATCGCATCGTATCGTATCGTATCGTATCGTGTCGTGCACCTCGTACGCCTGAGCTAAGCGCAACCGCCCAGGGGTGGAGCGTAGAAGTTCTTCTTCTTCTACACCGACCGAATATTCTTTCGTCGATGGTACCTACAGAGCTTTAATCGCGAGAGGGGAAGCAACCATATCGTAATGTAGATATAGGGGGGGGGGGGGGGGGTTAGGTAGCAAGCAGAACTGGGAATAGCCCTACTCCGTAAATTGAGCGGGCGGTAAGGTCAGGCAGGCGGCGCCAATGTTTACGATATGGTTGATGGATGGATGGTGGGGGCTGCAATACAATACGATACGATACAATACAAAAGAGATAACACAAAAGAGATAACACAAAAGAGATAACACAAAAGAGATAACACAAAAGAGATAATGCTCAGCGCACTGACCATTAGGTAGGATTTTGATACTGAACAAATAAAGTACGGGACGGAAGGGCAACGCACGGATCGGCAGCACGTACAGCTCCACCTCACTCACCCCCCTTCAGCAATTTCTAATACAAGCCAGCCTTGGCGACCTCGACTTTGAAGAAAGTAGACCTCGATTTATCTATGGTCGAATTTATATTTTATATCTATACATATATATATATATACATCTACTCACTCACTACCGTACCTTACCTACTTCGCTCGCGGGATACACACACACTCTCACTCCGCCTCGCGACAGGCTCAAAAAGTATCCTGTATCATTTAATGAGGATTAGTGAACTCAGTCTCTCTTGGGAAATTGCACTTGTCTTAGTCTCGTGCGGGGTAGGATTTGACTTGATCGAGCGATGGGACGGACGCCCGGAAGATAAGATAAGGGTAGGCTAGGGAGATCCAAGCAGAGTTGTGATGACTGGATCTTGGTATTCTTTTTCTCGCCTCTTCTCTTTTTCCCTCCTTCGCTCGTCTCGACGGGATGTGCTAGTACAGATCTGTGCATATAGGGAAAAGGGCTAACCGGCCCGTTCCTGGCGCCCTTCTTGTTTCCCCCTTCGCTTGTCGATGCTTATGTACCACCTATGGATGTGCGTGTATGTGGAGGGCTAAACGGCCCGTTCCTGGTGTTTCTCTTGTTTCTTCTCCCTTCGCTTAGCTCTATCTGAGGGATGTGTAGATGAATAGATGAGTGTACACGTAGAGATGGACGGGGTACGGGGTACGGAGTACGGGGTACGGAGTCGAAGGCTGGGTAGGTACCCAAACGGCCCGTTCAGCTACCTTACCTACTTAGGTACCTAGGTACCTAGGTACCTTAAAGGCAGGTAGGTTTGAGGGAGGGTAGGGGAGGGGGGTTAAGGTATTTCCAAGGACGGTCAGCGAGCTGATCGTCCGATGAGATAAGATGAGGAAGGATCTCTTGGGTTTTGTTTTGACGACGGTTGGTCTCGGGGATTTTGTGAGAGGTGGGTTTGCTTGGTATGGCGGCTGGTGGTGGCGTGGCTGGTGAGTGGTGGCCGATGGCTCACTATAGGTCCGTATATCTACATCTATATCCATATCCATATCCATATCCATATCCATATCCATATCCATATCCAAATCCATATCCATATCCATATCTATATCTAAGATCGAATGGATTTGGAAAGAAGCGGTTAGATTTTTTCAAATGATTTGAATTGGAGTGGAGATAGGATGAAATGGGACTGATGCAATTGATTAAGTTGTTGTTTACGAGATGAGATGAGCTTGTGGTTGCAAGGTTGGATTGGATTGGATTAAGATGATTGACGATATCCCGCAAGCTAGGCAGGCAGGCTTAGACTAGTAAGTGAGTGAATAGCTAGTATAGGTAGTGTATTTCCTTTCAGCTCCCCCACTCCCCCGCCCCGGGCCTTTCCCCGCCCCGGACCTTTCCCCGATCCTATACTGGTTACCTTGAAGGCAGGTGGGGGTCCACAGACTACCTTCGGACCGTCTCTTTTATGAGGCATGGTGTCTTTGACTTTTGATATATTTAGCAGATAGACTACTCGTCATTAAGACTTGAAATGAGATCGTATCGATGGTATCTGGTAAATGAAAAAGGGGTTGAATTATTCCAACTGTGATGGAATGGGAATGAGAGTGGGCATGGAACTGATTGAATCGTTAATTGGAAGACGAGCATTTTCGTTAAAAGATTGTCTTGTCTTGGGGACGATATCCCGAAGGCTAGGCAGGCTTAGATTAGTGAGTAGATAGATACTAGTGTATTTTCTTTTTGCTCCCCTATCCCCCCCCCCTTCTTTCCCCGAACCTATTCCGCCCTCCTTCACTACCTTGAAGGCAGGTGGGGGGTCATTTGGACGGTCTACAGACCATCTTCGGACCGTCTGTTTTACCTTCATAAGGGATAGTCTTTGATTTTTGATGCGGATAGTAAACCTAGACTACTCGTCGTCAAAACTTTAATTAAGATCGTATCGTATCTGATAGGCAACGGCTTCAAATTATTTAGATTGTATTTGTAATTGTGATTGAAATGGAATTGGAATGGAACTAACTGAATCGATTGAATTATCGTTTATAAGAGTCTGTCTTTTCGTTGACAGATTGTCTTGTCTTGGGACAATATCCCGATGGCCAGGCAAGCTTAGATTAGATTAGTAAGTTAATAGCTAGTGTATTTTCTTTTGCTCCTCGAGCCAATCCTATCCTACCGCCCTTCACTACCCTAAAGGCAGGTAGGGGATTCATTTGCACCATCTTCGGACCGTCTCTTCCGCTTTTATAAAGGATGGTATTTGACTTTTGATAAGGTTAGTAAACCTAGACTACTCGTCGTCAAGATTTGAAATGAGATCGTAAGATCGATCGTATATGATAGATAACGGCTTAAATGGTTTGAATTCTAATTTAAATGGAATGGAATAAAATGAGATGGAACTGATTGAACCGATTGAATCGTTGTTTATAAGATTCTACCTTTTCGAAGAAAGATTGGCACTGAAATAAGATTGATTTAATGGATTATATCCTCGTTTATAAGAGCTTGTCTTTTTCGTTGAAATATTGTCTTGGGATGATATCCCGAAGGCCAGGCTTAGATTAGTAAGCAAATGGCTACCGGTAGTATGGTGTATTTTCTTTTGCTCCCCGACCTTTCCCGATCCTTTACTATCTCAAGGCAGGGTTAAAGGCAGTGGGTCACTTGGACGGTCCACAGACCATCTTTTGACCGTCTCTTCTAAGGATGGTCTTTGATTTTTAGTAGTACTAAGTGGGTTTGTAATCAAGACTTGAAATAAGATCGATCGTATCTAATAGATAACGGTTTGAATGGTTTAAATTATTATTGTAATTGATATGAAATGTAATTGATTTAATTGATCGGATTATTGTTTGTAAGAGTCTGTCTTTTCGTTGAAAGATTGTCTTACGACTGTCCCAAACTCCTGTCCGAAAGCTGATATTGATACGAAGTAAGCAGATATCTCTCGGTCCCTTGCATCCCCCCCCCTTTTGCTCCCGTATGCTTGTGCATTGGAGTGGGAGGAGGAGGGAGCTCTGCGTGCGATAGGCGAGTGGTTTATATTCCGCTGAATCGGTCGATTTTAGTATTTAATCGACGAAAGCGTTGACGTTCGTTCATGAGTTGGTAGCGATACCGAAGCATATCTTGGCATGAAGACCGGCTTAATAATCATTTACTAAGCCCAAGGTTGGATAGGGGTGTTCGCTAAGAAGTATACCACTAAGATAGTTATAATGATTCGCACAACCCAACTTTCTAAAACGAAGCAATTATTTGGACCTCGTTTGGCAAGCTTTTATATTAGTCTCATCCGTAGAAAGGGTCTCTACACTATGATAGTATCTCGATTGAGAGGGTTACTAGTCGGTCTTTAGAAATCTTAAACGGTTTTATCATTGATTATGTTTCAAAAATATATACAGACAAGTTCGTGGGTCGATCTTGGGACGCTCTCTTGCTCGAGGACGGTCTTGCGAATAAATTATCCTTGGTTGGAAACTAGCGATGATTATAAGTCATCTAATGACCGTCTTTTTAAAGAAAATGGTTTTGGAGAAAATGTGCCTTTGTGGTGGGGGTAGGTCTGGGACCGTTTCTAAGCGAGAGCGCCCGGCGCTAGCTGACCCATCTAGATAGCTCCCTGCCTTTTGAGATCGGAAGGTAGGTGGCGAGCAGTAATATTGGAAGGGTTTGACTTTTGTAAATACCAAGAGGGATGAATAGACATGACCTCGAATTGACACAGCTTGGTTCAACTTGTAAAGAGATGGAGATCGTGGATTCACTGGATGAGGAACTGATTGACCATCGTGCCTTCCTCTTCGGCTCAAGTTCGGCCGAGGCGAGGCTGTAGTTGGAACATCTCGAAATTTGCGCTCGTAGAAGTTTTTGATAGCGTCTACCAATGCATTGGAATTGACCGCGCTCGGTCATTGATTGTTGATCGACTACGACGAGAAGAGGGAGAGAGGGAGAGAGAAATATACGTAACGCTACGGAGAGGAGATGATCGCGAAGTCGGAGGTTGGAAGTCAAGTACAGCCTCATTGACATCATACCCTCTCGCCTTTGTAGCCATCTGGAATCAACCTCGGCCTCAACGTCCGTAATTCACCAGATCAGCAGCCTAGCCTCTGGCTTCTGTATGCCACCCACTCACCCTTGGGCCTATATCTACTTAAAAAAAATTATAATCGCCGGATCATGACTAGTCCGCTTTTAGTCCACCCACGAGGAGCCGCGAATTAAGCTACCGCTAGTCGTACCGTCTCTTGACTCCTTCTTTTTTCTTGACAACCTTACAGACTCGGCAACTAAACCTCCATCTGCCGAGGTGCATCAACCTCTCTGACAACCCCCTTTCATCATCCATCTCTCAGGTCGTCTTTGTACGGTACGTTGCTTTCGTATTTGTCGAGGCTGTCAGCTCTCGGCCTTCCCTTCCTTTATCGCAGATCGACCCTCGAGATCAGGTACCTTCAAGTCCCGCAGAGTGCTAACAACATATCCACGGTGCAGAAACAACGCCATGTCTTCCCCGGTATCCAAGGTGCTCGTGTCCAAGGCCAAGCCGAAGCTGCGCGTCAAATTGACAGTATCCCCCAAGTACAAGAGATCGACCAAGACCGTGGCCGTCACGCCCAAGAACAAGGGCAAGGGCAAGGAGTTGGAGGTGCCCGAGGGGACTTTCACGGAGTTCACGGTGTTCCTGAACTTGCCTCCCGAGCTGCAACTTGAAATCTGGAAGCTGGTCATCGGTGACGTGCAGGGTCGGATTGTGACGCTGAAGGATTCGCCCGTACCAGCTTTCTTGCATGTTTGCTCAACCTCCCGAAAGCAGGCTCTCAAGTCTGGGTATGATATCAACGTCCGAAACATGCAGCAAGGCCGTATGTATAACCCTGTCCCCATAAATCTCGATCTGGTATCAAGAAGTGCTGACGAGCTCGCAGTGTTCATCAACCCTAACACGGACATCTTTTTCCTCGGGCGTACCGGCTTCCCCTCGCAAATCGAATACCACATCAACGCTTTCCACACCCTCCTCTGTCTCAAGGTCGAGAAGTCCATGCTGCAGCCCGTCCAACGCCTCGCGCTCACCATCTCCGAGGTCTTGCAGATCTGGCACACTCTGTGCTTCCACTGCTTCCTGCTCCAAAACTTTGAAGGTCTCTTCCCTAATCTCAATGAGCTCATCATCATTATCCGTCCTGGCACCCTCGGATCCGGCTTCGACGATCTCTACGAGGTGGAAACGAGCGACTTGGAGTTGGTGAACAACGTCATGACTGATATCCGGAACACGTTCAAGTGTGCCAAGGAGGAGGGACATGTCAAGGGGGTTAAGCTGACGTTTATGCGCATGGAGACATTCGTCAGATAGAGATGCTGCGGTGGCCTGGCGGATCTATCTGGTGGCAGCGGATCTTGGGGTTGCATATTGTTCGGAGCGGCAGCTCTAATTGGGGCGGTAAATTAAATTGGAGCAAGCTTTTTAGAGCGAGCGACGGGGTGGGGGTAATGGCTGCTGCGATGGATATCGGCATCCCTTTTTTCTTTCTTTTCTCTACTTTAATTTGCTAGCCGGTCTATATCACACACCCAGCAGCTTTGCGTCTGCGCAGACTTGGCTCTTGCATATAAAAGAAAAGAAAAGAGAAGAAGTTGATATCTTTATCGTATCCGCGGCTGATTGGTGACTACGTATGGGCACTACTTGCTTGCTTGCTTCTTTGCTTGCTTGCTGGATTGATTCATCTTGGGGGTTTATATAGATTGGGACTTAATAAGTAGTTATGAGTGGATGGGTATGTGGGCCTTGGGAGGGGGGGACCTACCTGTAGCTAGCTACCTCCCTTTACTTGGCCAAAAAAAATTACCTGAGAAACCCCTCTCCCCACCCCACACACACAATCGGGAGGTATATGCCGAAAAAGTGCAGCGTGTGAAGCGTATGGAAGTTCATTAGCTTAGCCGAGAATGTGTATCGTCTGTCTTCTCTGATCAATCAAGCAAATAACTGAAGTTGGATGGAATGATGAAAGGATGGAAGGAAGGGAGAGAAGAAGGATAAGCTTGTTTGAGAAAATCGATCTGGACCTTAAGCTAAGTGATTCGGCGGTGTTATAGAAATTTAAGATTTTTAAAAGGATGATATTCTTAGTGCTTTTTTTAAAATCCGGGAGAGGAGTCTACTTTTATTTTTATTTTTATTTTTGAGAAGCGTTAGGTTGACTTGGACAATCAGTGGACGCTGGGAGGAGATGTAGGGATATGATATAATAGGTCGCTAATGGAACGGATTTATTTTGTGTTTGATTACAGACTGAGGTGACTGTTTTTATTTAAGGAGGTTAGTTTGAGGTTTATCAGAGGATTGGTTTAAGTCGGGTTGATCGCTTATATTTCGGTAGGTCTGAAAGAATGGAAATGATAGATTTTAGTAAAAGGAAGAGATGGGGTTGTCAGGATGAACGCTTAGATTATCTTTAAGGAAATAGCTGCGAGGTAGGGAATTAATGTCTTGATGCCTCCCCCTCCTCCTCTTCCTCCTCCTTCAATCAGCGTGGCTGCTCCTCTAATCCTCTTTGATATTGATCTAAAGAACCTTCAACACGATCAGAATAAAAACAAGAAACAAAAACTAAAATCAGAGATCAAAAGACGTCCTATCGAGCATATTCCACCGCGATTATACCCTCTATCACCCTCCCATCGAATTCCCCTCCTTGCCTAAGCTCGAGGATAAGCCTCGTCTAAAGATCTGGAGTTGTATTCTTAAAGATCTTAATCCCCGGATGGTATGTATCCGTACGCATGAGATTCAGCCGTCGCCAAATTCCCCTCCTTCTTCCTTGTGTCGTATATTAATTCACTTCGAGATCCATTAGCTCGCGATCGCGAGAGGCTACTACACGTGGGAAGCCGAAATTCCAAAGGACCAGTTATGCTGACAGTGATGAAAGAGGACCATGCCAAATCTCAAACCCTCGTTCGCCAAGAGCTGCAGTCAATGATTTTTTTCGGAGACGTAGATTCCTGCCAAGTTTTTGTCACTGTCTGATGGCAGCGAGCGAACGAGCGAGATCATCGGTTCTCTGTGCGCGTGTACATAATAGGGGCTATGAATATGAGGATGAATATGTATGTGGATATGTATGTGGTCACGACTTCGATTTCCTTTTATGTATTTTTGCGGAATGGGTTGATGGGAGGGAGGGCTTAGGGGATGGTAGGATTCGAAAGATAGTTGGTCTGCCTCTTCCGGCCGCATGCAAGCCATTTGGAGATGCTGCCTGCATGCACTTACTTACCTTCATTGCCTCCGCCAATCTAATGCCTCGCTGAATTTAATGAAGAATTGCTTCCATCCATTGCGTCTCCTCCGTTGCACTTCCTTCCGGGCGTTGGTGCTGTCATGTTATCAGCTCACCTTTGAGGTTCGAGTATGAATAGGCAGGAGTAGCGTCTCGCTTAAAATCAACAAACGCTGGTAGGCTGCCGAGGTCAACTCCCCCCAACCTCCTCCCCCTCCCCCGAGAATTCAATTTGCTATTGACGTGAGAAGATTTTTCGCCCCACAATTTGACCAGATTTGGCCACAATAGCAACGTCCCACGATAAAAGAAAATCTCGTCAGCGTTCTCTCCCTCTCTTCTCCTTCTCAAGAAAAAATAAAACCATCGCAAAGATGGGCCAGAACTCGTCGTCACCATTCGCGTACCTTGCCGCGGGCATTACGCCTGCTGTCAACGTTCCTGCCGCTGCCACTTCCCCCGGGAGTGTGTCGGAGCTGAAGAGAAAGAGATCGGACGAGTCTGGCGCGGCCGAGGACGGATCGACGGAGGTCGTGAAGTCCAGAGCTACCAAAAGACTCAAAGGTACTTCCGAGGCTCTCCCTTCTACTCAGGCCGTCGTTGAGAGTATCAACGAGGTCGTCGACACATTACCTCTCCCTCCCTACACCCCTCCTACTCCTTTCCCCGGTCATGCTTCCGAGCGGAAGAGAAAGCGTTCCGGCGAGTATGGCGCCGAGGACGTGGAGGCTGGTGTGGAGTCCAGAGCTACAAAAAGGCCCAAGGGTACCTCTGAGGCTGTTGTCCCCAACCAGCCTGTCGTACTCGACGAAGAATCTGGATTGCAGATCATGGAATCTTACGAGCTCTCCTCCGCCCACCCTGTGGAGCAATACATCAGCGAATACCAGATGCTAGAGCTGGAAATGCTGTACCAGTACGATGCGATCAAGGTAAGTCACATCGAATCCCCTTCCGAACAGATTCCAACGAGCCAACCCTGACCCCCCCCCGAATGTGTGATTCAATAGCTGACTCTACGGTACTTAGATCTACCTTGAAAGTCTCGATCGGAACTTCACCCCGATTCCGATTCCTGCCGCCATTCCAAGAGTCCACCCCATCGGCTACGATCCCAACGGAGTTCCCATCGACGCGTTCACCGTATTTGGCAACCTGGCTCCTGAGCTGCGTCAGATGATCTGGGAATTCGCCCTTGAAGACAGTGCGCCCCGAATCCTCGCCATTCAACCGCAATACCACAACCACCCTCCTCTTGTCCACGCCTGCCACGAGTCCCGCCGTGTCTGTAGCGAGGATGAGAACATCTACTACATTTCCAGTGTGCAGCGCTGCAGAGTGTTCCGTTATTTTATCAATTACCAAAAGGACACGATCTACCTCAACCACACCTTCTCCCGCCTGGGGGGCAAGGTGCACAACAGCACCATCCAGGCCACCCGCTCGATGTATCCGCAGGTCTTGGAGCTAGCCGAGAACCTCGCCATCAACGTGCAGGAGTTCCGAAGCTTGACTGGCGGTATGTACTCACCCACTGACCAACTCACTTAGTCTTCCTTCCATCTTCCTTCTCTCTTCTGCGCATTCATGATTCTGTTCCAGCCAGCTGACCCATGCTACTCTCACCTCACCAGGCCACCGCAACCCAAAGAACACGCTTTGGACCATGCTCATGGCGTGGTGCCCAAACCTCAAGTGCATCTCGATCGTCGCCAACAACTTCCCCTCCAGCGGCCTCGTCATCGACTTCATCGACGTTCCGCCCACCGCCACCGCCTACACGGACATGAATCCCAAGGACCAGGTCGAAGCCATCCAGGACATCCAGCGCGCCTGGCGCTTCCATAAGGGCAAGGGCACTATCGGGGACTTCGCTACGCGTGTCGTGCTCGTCGACATGAACGCCGGCCGGATCCTCACCCGCAAGCAGAAGATCCAGAAGCGCAGGGAGGAGGAGGAGGCGCGGAAGGGGATGAAGGCTGTGGGAGAGAAGGTGTCGGATGGGGAGAAGAAGATGGTTGAGGAGGAGGAGGAGGAGGAGGAGGAGGAGGAGGAGAGGGTTGAGGAGGAGGAGGAAGAGAAATTTAGTAAGGAGGTTCTGGCGGAGGCGCGGGCGAATGCGGAGGCTTATGCGGATGTTTATGCGAGGGCTATGGGGAAGGCCAAGGCGGATGCGAGGCGGAAGGTGAAGGCGGAGGCAAAGGAGATTGAGAACGCGAAGGCGATCGAAGAGGCGAAGGCGATCGAAGAGGCGAAGGCGATTGAGCACGCGAAGAAATGATTGTATTGTGTCGATGGTGGTGATGGTGATGGGTTGCTTCTCTCAGCTTGTTGCAGCTGCTTTTGGGGATATTTCCCGCGTCCGTCTCCTTTGGCTGGGTTTACTGGGTTCACTTTACTTCTACGGCGGAAAGAAGAGATACCAAATTGCGTTTCGTATTCTGTATAATAAGTATCGTGGGTACGTTACGGAGTACTTGAATTCGAGAAATCCAGAGGGTCTTTTGCGTCAAATATACTTCACTTTACTTGGAATCGTCCGTGTACTCTTTCTACATTCTACATCCCAAGTCTCTGATCGCAGAGTGAAGAGGCTATGCAGAGACTTCTAACCAAAGACCGCCAAATACGTAATATATAGCATGGTAATATAGCTTCTAACACGTTTGCATAGTACCCATGTCGATGAAACGTGAGTAATGATTCTCAACCAAGGCGTCTATTCACGGCGCGCGGTCATGTCCCCTCGAACATCATTCTGGAAAGGCATCGATCGTTGTAGACAGCAGACAGACACCAGTCTAATAAAACCATTTCCCATTTCCCATTTCCCATTTCCCATTTCATATGCTGTATTATCATACATAAAATCATACATATACCTATTTCCTTCCCTTTCCAACCCCCCGCCGCCTTGCAAACGTCTCTCCTCCATCTATCTGTTCATCCATCCATTTCGCCACGCGTAACGCCTAGGTATTTCTTCGCGTTCCTTCCCCCCCCGTTCCCGCCCCTGCCCAAAAAAAAAGACGAAAGAAAAAAACAGAGAAAAAAGAGGGAAAAAAAAGGGGAAAAGGAAAAAAGGGCAAAAGGAAACACGCCCACGCCCCCCTGCAAATGAGGTGTTAGCAAGCCCGTCCAAGTCAGAAATGCTGAAGTCCAATCTACTGCAGAGGGAAAGTGAGACCACTCCACCAAACGCGCGGGCCAAACCTGTTTTGATGTCAGGGTAACTGGTAGGTAGATATATATCTATTTACTAAATGTCCTTTCTACGCGCACGTGATGAAAATGAAAAAAAAAGGGGGGGGGAGGAGGGGGTTACTTTTCTCGTTCAAGATTCTCGGTATCTATTCTTTTATAATATGAGGCAGCTTGATGAGGTTATGCTTTACGTCTTCTAAGCCCGCCCTCCCACCCCTTCACCTACAAACCACCCAAACGAACACTTACCGATCACTTCACCATTCTCGCGATCAAGATACCAGCCACGTAATCGCCGGAACTGCTTGGATAGCTAGAGAACACGCGCATATAGCTCGTCTTCTTCCCAAGCCTACATTACTAAAAAATATTTGGATTTCCGAGTTAGCAAATTTGCTATGCATTGAATATAATTTACCTAGGTATATATATATATATATTGCCAACTTCATCGCGACATAGCGAAACTCTTCAACGTTGAGTACAGACCGAAGATCCCTTACTTAGCCTAATCGAGTTTGGGTATTTATCTACCCGTATATAAATTTCTTCCCAGAGATGAATGAAGCATCTAGCGCTCTTTCAAAAAATTAAAAAAATTGGAGGCTTTGAATATAAGTCAGGCGGCATCTAATAAGCTGCAACAGATATGATATGATGCAGAGTAGGTAGAGAGTAAGTAAGCTAGAGAGATAGATACGTAGGAATACGAAGACAAAGAAACTTCCCCCGTTATTTGGAGCAGTCGGGATTACAGCTTGGAGGAGATTTACGGCTAGCTACCGCAGCTGGCTTCAACCGGATGTTAGAATTTCAGGTCTGGGCCGTCTGTCTATAATGAATGGAGACGAGTAATGGGTGGGATGGAATCTGAGTCCCGTAAGGGATTTTTGAAGTCAGAGCTGGGAGTTTGTATTTACGGCTTTCCCCCTCCCCCCAAAAAGAAAAAAGACTGCGTTTACGATTAGGCATCGTCGAAGACCCAAACACCGGGGCGTGGAAAGGAAGTATAGCTTGAATTTGAGATTCTAGAAAGGTTGAGACGGTATGAAGGGATTCATTGGCTTCAATGGCTTGCCATCGCAAATAGCGACAACACCGATATATCAGTGGATCGGCTAAGGTAATCCATCCATCGTCCATGCTCTCAGGCAATGGTTACCGACTGACTTTGCTCTATAGGTTAGGTCACGCCAAGTTCAGTACTCTAATGGCATTTCCACCCAATGCACCTTTAGCCTCATCACCCGCTCCCAGTGCCCCCTTGATCGCGATGTAATTCGTCTCGACACTCGCCCACTTGCTATCCTCCTCTTCCAAAGGAGGAAAGAACGGGTGATCGGTCCCAAACATAACCCTATCCTCCCCACTAGCCTGAATGGCCGCCTCCAGTCCCACCTCGCTGTAAACCACAGCATCCAAGTAGATGTTTTTCTTGAGAACATCCCACACCGTTTTCCTCCCCTTCCCAAGCTTGCCTTCGGCCTTCAGATGCGCATCGTGCTCAATGCACGACTCGATCCTGCCCGCCAGGAACGGCAGAGTACCACCCGAATGCGCCAAGATCATCTGCAGCCCCGGCACCCTCTCAAAGACCCCCGAGAGGATCATCCGCGTCACGGCGATCGTCGTCTCGAGCGGGAACCCCAGCGCCAGAGGCAGCACGTGACCATACTCACCCGCTCGCTCCCCCCAGACCGAGCCCGGGAGGCCGTAGTGCGGATGCAGGAAGACGGGCATCTGCACATCATGCAGCGCCTGGAAGACTGGCACGAGTTCCGGGTCGTCCAGACCCTTCCCCAGGCCCGTGGTGCCGAGAATGACACCCCGCATGTACCGCAATCCTTTCAAGCGCTTGATCTCCTGCGCAATCGCCGCCGCGCCGCCGCTCAAGGGGAGGGTTCCAAAGGCGAATAGCCTGCCGGGAAACTTCTCGCACTCGGAGTTCACTTCGTCGTTGATCTGTTGGGCTGCTTTTGCAGCTTCATCTTGGGGGACCCAGTCGAGCCATGGGTTGGCTAGCGAGATGACGGAGATGTCGATGGAGTGTGTATCCATGAACTTGATCTTCTCGTTGATGTCGTAGTACTCGGCACCCACCGGCCTTCCTCTCGATGTACTCTCTGTGTCCTCAGCTGGCAGGATCACCAGGCGCAGGTCTGTTGAGGGTGGGAAAGAGCGGATATACGGTATGCTGGACCTGGATCTCAGCAGTTCTATGTATGAAGGCGGGTAAACGTGGGTATGGATATCCACAATGGGAGATTTCGTTGCCGACATTTCCGTTCTTCTTTTTTCCGAGCCTACTTTCTTCTCCTTCTTCTTCTCTCTTCTTCTTCTTCTTCTTCTTCTTCTTTCTTCTTTCTTCTTTCTTTACGGGAGGGGAGAAAGTTGAAGTTCAAAAAAGAGAGAGAGATAAGTCTGCATGGATACCTACGCGACTCAACCCCGCTACGAGAGGCTTATCTTGACCCCCTCCGCCAAGACCTTCCAGCTTCCTGTTTCGACGACATCCTCTTCCTATCTCACCCAAGACTGGCGACGGAGAACACCTCCATCCGTAAATCAGATTGCCCATTTTTTCTTCTAATACAGTACAACACTTCAAAGATATCTTCTCCCTCAATCGAATCCGAGCTCTGGACAGAAGCTGGCCCTTCTAAAGTTTATCACGTGTCGTTTCCAGTCCCCCCACCTCCTATCAAGATAATCATGACTCCGCAAGCCACTGCTGTCGATGTAGATAATCTGCTTATCCCCGTGGGTATCTCTTCGTTGTGCTGCTACTGGTTTGGCTTCGGGAAACACTAACAGATACTCAGATCATCGACTTCTCTCTCTTCCTCCATGGCACGCCCGAGCAGAAGACCGAGACGGCTCGCTCCATCCTCTCAGGCTTCCAATCGGCTGGCTTCATCTACTTGATAGTACGTAACTATACGCTTCTACTATGAATCTCATCTCAATGGCTCTCTCTCTCTCTCTCGACGTTCCGATATTTGATTTCCACACATTCTCAAGCCTGAGTCTCAATTCAACAATTACATGATTCCACTCTCCCACCTCTGCAATTCCAAGCAAAGACTAAAGCCGCGCTCCCTTCCTCTGTCTTCTCTCTCCAGAACCACTCCATCCCCCTCGAAACCATCTCCCACGCCTTCTCCACCTCCGCCGCCTTCTTCGCCCGCCCACAAGCCCAAAAGGACGCCCTGGGCTGGACCACCCCGGAAGCAAACCGCGGCTACGTCGCCCACGGCCGCGAGAAGGTCTCCACCCTGACCGACCGCGCCGCCGTCGAAGCCGCCAAGGCCTCCGCCCCGGACCTCAAAGAATCCATGGAGATCGGGCGAGAGGGCGCCCCCGGCACGCCGAACAACTGGCCCTCGGGGGACGCGGCCGCGGACCACTTCCGGGCCACGATGCTGGACTTCCACGACCGCGCCCGGGCGCTGCACGTCCGCGTGATGCGGGCCATCGCCGTCGGCATGGGCCTGGCCGAGGCCTGGTTCGACGGGTACACGGACGCGGGCGACAACACGCTGCGGCTGCTGCACTACCCGCCGGCGCCGAAGGCCGTGTTCCGGCGGAACGAGCGGCAGGTGCGCGCTGGGGAGCATACGGATTACGGGAGCATCACGCTGCTGTTCCAGGATGCGAGGGGCGGCCTGCAGGTCCAGAGCCCCAAGGGGACCTTTGTGGACGCGACGCCCGTGCCGGGGTCCGTGGTGGTGAACGCGGGCGACCTGCTGGCGAGGTGGAGCAACGATACGATCAAGAGCACGCTGCATCGGGTGGTGGAACCGCCGGGGCCCGAGGAGGGGGATGTGCATCCGGCGCGGTACAGCATTGCGTATTTCTGCAATCCGAATTTCGATCGGGAGATCGAGGCGATCGAGGGCACGTATGGGGGCGAGAAGGGGGAGAAGAAGTACAAGGCCATTAACTCGGGGGAGTACCTGGTGCAGAGGCTAGCTGCTACGTATTGAGAGAGGAATCATATGAATACGATCTCGTCAGATAATAGTTGGACTGATTTCTGCCTGTGAGATGGAGAGGTGAAAATGAAAGTCTGTATGTCGAAGCTATATCCATATCCGCCAAATAAAAGAGCAATAAAAATAAATAAAAAGCGCATGCTAATCCCAATTTCATCAAGCACATCTTCGTGAGCAAAATTCCATCTCATGTCACCATATCCCATCCCACCAACCCCCAAACAGTTTCCAGCAACCACTCCTTCCCGCCATTCTCGACCCCAGCTGGCTCTACAGTCAAGTCAAAGCTCCCTGGTGGAAGTCTCGGTAAACTGAGACTCTCGAGCTTGGCCCCACCCAATATACTCTTCAGCAAGGTACTTTGTAAAAGCTTCTTCGATTTGCTCAGCATAACTTCCGATGATGCTGATCCAATGCCGATACCGCAAGACTGGGTCTGTCCTGGCGACAGCATACGGGACACCAGCTCAATCCTACCCGGCCCACCAAGCACTCCATAGAGAACTTGGACCATGTACCGAGACTCCGGCCTCAGCACTCCATGCGCGGGCAACCTGGGGCATTTCGTTATGTTCCCTGGGTTATCTGACGTTGCCACATGCTCGCCAAATACCGAATCCGACACTAGCCGTCCTGTGTGCTCCAAAATCGAGAAGACTATGCCTTCAAGGATCTCAGCATGTCCAGTTTGATTGGGTTTCCAATCGACGCCTTGGACCATCGATACAAGCATTTGTGCCAAATGCTTGTTGACAGCGTATTCCGTTGTCTCGATCTTGGCTCTTTTGCTTCCCATATTCTGACTCCGCTGTGTCACTTCATCTTGTGCTTGCAAGCTGCTTATTGCGTGCAGAAAGTCGAGGGCCTTCTTGAAAAGCATCACTATACCGTAAATGACCTCGGGCTTCTTGCTTCGTCCTGGGATCGTGAGAAAGAGCTCGTTCACGGCATTGAAGCAGAAGATGAAAGACAGGTTGATCTGATGAAAAACTTGCCGAAGCAAGAAGGAGGTCTGCGAGCCACGGCTATCAAATCGCAGGCTCTTCAGTGGCAGACAGCAATCTGACAGAGATTCTTCGAGGAGGCTGGCTGTCCGCAGAATCTGCCTCGTCAAAGTGTTGATCTCGTCTAAGGTGCTGCATTCTTGCGTCGCCGCAAGTAGTTGACCGCGCTGGCGCAGGATTCGCAAAGCTGTCACTGGTCAGCGATCCTCAAACGTTTTCGAGTGAGCTTGCATACCGTAGCCACTCAGTCGGAGCCTGTCGTCACTCTCAATGAGCGAAAGAAATTGGTCTTCTTGGCCGTGACGAGCCTCAACGTCTTGAAACGGCGCAGCGCGCTTTCTCGATATCCCGGCATCGCTCCGTTCTACTCCATGAAGCCCTTCTGCCACCGAAGATGAGCTTTCGACAGTATCACGGTCTTCCTCGCTGGAACTCTCCAGCCGTCGCAGCTTCTCCCTCAGCAGCCTGTTTGCCTCTTCCAAGCATTGCACTTTGTCTTGAAGCCCCTTCTTCTCTCTGTATATTGCGTCGTACTGGTCTTTCCAGAACTCTGCCGCATCGACGTATCGCAGCTGCTCTCTGGGGACAGGCTGCCCGGTCTTGACATGCTTTTTCAGCTGCTGTATGTAGTCTACACCCGTCGCCATGGCCATGTTAGCTAGCAAATCGGCAGGTGCTCGGGGAGAGCCATCGGAACGTTAACGTACGGGCCGTGGAAAGCCCTTCTGTCTTGGATTTGGCGATTGAAAGTGCGAGGGATAGTTGGCTTTGCGTGAAGTGCGATAGGAGGAGTTGTGCGGGAGTTGTTGTTGTTTCCTGTGCTGAGGTGCCTGCGCTGCGAGTGGGATTGCGAGAGGTCCGAGAACGCAGCGAAGAAGCTGGGAGTTTCATCTTCACGAGTAGAGATTGCGATGGCATGGTGGGAATCTGTAGAAAGACCGAAGAGCTTAGAGATACGACATGTTGAAGTGAGAGAAGTATGCTGGTGTGGGCGAGAGAAATTCAAGAAGCAAAGATCTCGGACCCGGACCCGGACCTTGACCCGGATCTGTGAATCTGGTTCGGGAAGGCACGACTCGGGGAGGTAGACAGCTCATGGCTCATTACATTTCAATCGAATATGTCAGACGCAGTATAAGTACCAGCTTCGATGTCATTATTTTTACCGTCTGTATGTAGCCTCACAAGTCCGCCAACAAGTGCAGGAATCCAGGCCAACACTTCACAGCCGTGAATCCATGGGGGGAGGGAATGAGAAGCAAAAATCGGCAGAAAATGGCAGAATTTACTACGTACTACGTAATTTGGAACTTTTCTTTAGGTTCGAGGCTACAAACCTAATTGAATAGGTTTTCCGGTACAATACAGTATGCCTCAGCGGCTAATGTCGTACGGAGCAACTGATGGGACAAAGGTGATCTGTGCTCAGCGCGAAGCTACTGAGGCATTGACTCTGTTGCCGCCAGTTAATAGAAGTCCTCCGCAGAGTTTGCTCATACAGGACCACGGTACAGGCGTAATTGTTACACTCTTGAGGGTGCCTCCAAAGTTTAAATTTTCACTTTGAACCCCTTGGTTACCCTTCCCTCAAGGGTGTAACAATTATGCCTGCGACGTAGTATGTCGTAGGCAATCTTTATTTCCAGCTTCCTCTTCCTGAGCTTTAGCGATCAAATTTCTGGAGTCTCGTCGGTATGGGAAGAAGAAAGAGGACACGCCACGAAGCGCGAGATCGTACAGACCTATCTACTGTATACCTTCGCGACGAGCGTGGAGACAACTCGGGCATATCCAGTCTCGCTCTGGCCGTGAGTTTCCAGACGTCAACATCGCCAAAGCACATAAAGTCCCGCACCCCCGATCAAAGTTTACGAAAGTCTCGACGACAGTGGAGAGTCATGGTGTCCCCATGCTAAGTACCTACCCGCTCTATTTGTCTGTGACTCTGTGTGATCGGAATTGGCCTAGTCACGGGGGGATAATTGATTGCTCACGTGAAAAGGTGGGGGCAATATCTAGCGAAGCGAAAATCCTACCGGTACGTAAAACGCCAACGTCCGTTGCTTGCGTTGCTTTTCTTCCTTTTTTTTTTTTTCCTTCCTTTGTTTCCTCTGCTGCCGCCCGTCCTTCCCGTTTTTTTTCATCTCATCCCGTCCAGCCTGAGGACTCACTTCTCGTGATCACGAGTTCCGAGTCCACCGTATTGGCATTTGCTTGCCTCCCCAGATAAGCTTCCTGCTCTCTTCCTCGGCGGGGAAATAAGCTTCGGGGGCCCTTCCCTTTTCCCCGTTTCACATTTCGCATTTCGCATTGCTCATTTCTCATTTCTCATTTCTCATTTCTCATTGCTTCTCCTACGACATCCTACTACTTGTACATACTACATACAAGTATCAGAAAAACAACCCGTATGGTTTATTCCCCTGCATATTGACTTACTGCTCGACTCCATGCCATCAGCCGCTCCACATCCCATCTCCACTGTCCCAAGTCACATGTTTCATATATACTCGTACCAACCCCATGATACTCATCTCGCACCTCCAGCTGCCCCGTTTCCCGTCCCATCCAATCTGTTTTGCCTCCTTATTTCAAACAATCAGCTGCTCCGCATACACACGCACCTTTCTGCGTCTAGTCGATCCGCGCATCCAAGATGGAGCATCAAGTAATCGCTCACCCAACATGTCGGCGTTCGGCATCTCATTTGGTTACCTCCCAAGTGGGCCGGCAGCGTCCCCTCTTCCCCTGGGTATAAGAAGCTTTGCCCATCTCTTGAGCATCTCTTGAGCATCTCTTGAGCGTCTCTTGGTCATTCACCTATTGTTCTTGTATTCTTCGCTTTTCCTGTCACTCTTTTGCACCATGCGCTTCTCGTCTTCTTTCCTCGCCGCGGCTGGCCTGTCGGCTTTGGTTCTTGGTGCACCGGCCACGGAGGTCGATGGCTGTGGCTCGGCGGATGGCAGCTATCCGGAAAGTCCTGGTATGCTCCTTCCTTCCTCGTTCACTCTCCCTTCTCCCTTCCTCCTT